AGATACTCTGCTCCCCCCACTTCATCGAGGCTCAGCGAGAACAAGCAGCCTGTCTAGCAAAGGCCACATGGCTCCATGTTCCACAGTAGACACAAACGAGTCACCATGACATCGTCACATTGGCTCACGAGCTTGGTGTAACCAAGTCTGCTAAGCAGCTATCTTCCCTGCACAGGCCACTCTCCCCTGCTGCACTGGGCCCCATCTCCATGCCCTGTTGGACACCCCATACACAGCCTCCCTTGAGCAACAGCCACAACTCTGCAAGTGGAGGAGGTCTTCGGGAACACATGGAGGAGGTCTTTTTTTTTCTTTCCTTTTCTTTTCTTTTCTTTCTTTTTTTTTTTTTTTTTTGAGAGGTTTTCTGCTATAGGGTGCATGTGTTCACCAGACAGAGAGAGACAGAAAGCGAGAAATCACCCCCCAGGGGGGATGGCCACGCCGCAATCCCTTCTCCTCCATTCTCCTCTCGGGATCTTGGGCGGGCACGCACGCACATGCGCCTGGCATGAGTTTTAAGCCACTGGGTCCGGGACGCGAACTGCGGTCGACTATGTGGGAGTCCAGCGACATAGCCATTATGCTAACTGCTGGTCCCACATGGAGGAGGTTTTAGGGAACACATGGAGGAGGTCGTAGGGAACACATGAGTTTCAGAAGACCCAATAATAAACCCATTGCAAGAAGTCTACCCTTTGCAAACTGAGGAAATAAGGATGGAAATGATTGAGGCTAAAAAAAAAAAAATCAGGCAGGGACCTGCAGGTGGTGTAGTGTTTCAGGTGCTGGACTTCCACATGGTCAACCGCAGTTCGAGTCCCGGACCCGGTGGCTTAAACTCGTGCCGGGCGCATGTGCATGCATGCCCAAGATCCCGAGAGGAGAATGGAGGAGAAGGGATTGTGGCGTGGCCATCCCCCCAGGGGGGGATTTCTCATTTTCTGTCTCTCTCTGTGTCTCTCTAGTAAGCACATGTACCCTTATAGCGAAAATCTCTCTCTCAAAAAAAAAAAAAAAATTGGGGCTGGTTGGTGGCATGATGGTTAAGGGTGCTGGACTCCTGCATGGCTAACTATGATTTGAGTCCCAGATCTGGTGGTGGCTTGCTTTCTCACTTTCCCTTTCTCCCTCTCTCTCTCTGTCCCTCTCTGTTCAAACTAACATAAATAAATAAATAAAGTTAAATAAAAATGATTCTTTAAAAAATAAAGGCAGTTTCATCAATTCATCCATTTTAAATAGCTAAACAAAATGAAGCCATCCCATACAATGGAATACAGTTCAACCTCAGAGAGGAAGAGAATTCTGACATGTGGATGAGCCTTGAGGACGCTGGCTCGGTGAAATAAACCAGATGTAGAAGGACAATTACTGTATGATTCCACTTCTGCGAGGTGCCTGGAGTAGTCAAGCCCACAGAGACAGAAAGTGGAGCGGTGGTTGCCAAGGGGTGGGAAGACAAAGCGGAGCGGTACTGTCTAATGGGGGCACAGTCTCGGTCTCTCCGGTGACAAAGTTCTGGAGATGGGCGGTGGTGATGGTTGTACAACAGTGTGAGGTACTTAATGGCCTGACCTGTGCCAGAAATGGTTAAAATCCTAAATATTGTTATAAATATTATGCCACAATTTAATAAAATGAGAAAAAGATAGGCAGAGGATCTAAAGCAAACAGGATACAACGAATGTTCTGGCTCTTGTTTTAATTATTTCTAGGCCAACTTTTCAGGGCACTGTGAGCCTCTGCTCAGGATAAACGCTCTCATTGTGTGAATCAGCTTTGGGATTTGGGAGGCATACACGTTATGGCATCCCTGTTTGACAGGCAAACGGGGATGAGTTCAAGGCAAATAAACTGCACCCACCACTGAACTTTTTGAGCCTGAAAATGCTGAATGCATCTGTACAACAGCGCCCAGCATAGCTGAACGGAAGGTGCCTGGAACAGACACGTCCACACTTCGTACTCTTGCGGGTGGGGCCTCCAGGATGGTTATGCATTAGCTTAGAGTACTTTTGTCTCACTTCTAGACAGAACCCTGGAAATCAGAGACCCCTCTGTATTCTGGAAACTCTCCTGAGCCTCCTTTCCAAAGATTTTCCCCACTTTCCCTGGTGTATGGATTGCTGGGTCACCTGCAGCCAAGTGAGTGAGTGATTGGGCCGGAGGGTTTGGTTTGTGAGGATAGTGGGGCGGGGAGAGGCCAGGGTGGGATGTGGGGCTCAGCACTTCAGTGACCTCAGGCTACCTGGTTCCAGAGCCCTGCTGTGCTACTGCCTGGCTTGTGCCTGCAGTGTCCCCATTGCTGGCCCACTCCGTCCTGCCACATCTCTTGTTTGCACATCAGTGCATGTGAGCAGCCTAGCAGGCACCATGGTCTTCTCTGCCCTCGTTTGGCTTCCTGATGACCAGAGCTAAATGTTGGCACTGTTGAACCTCCCTGAAAGCCCAGCTCCAACTAGACATGAAGTGAACGACATCATCTGCACAGTCACCCTATGGGGACACCATCACCTGCCCACCTCATGATGAAGAAAGTGGCTTCTCCTGGGCCTTGTAGCAGGCCAGCTGCAGAGTCAGACACAGTGAGGACACCTGTCCCATGCTCCACCTCTCTGTGTGACTGCCAAGAGCAGAACAACCCCTGGCAGTAGGGTGACATGGAGCCTCTAGGTCATTAACGCCAACTCTCATGGTGTGAGGTGGGGGTTGAGCCATCCCCTTTTGGCCTATGGGCAACGTCTGACTTAAGGGACCTTCAGACCACATCTGTGAGCAGGAGGACAGAGGCCAGCAGCTCCCTGGCTTCTTGACATCCTTAGGTTAGAACTAGGAGGGACTGTGCTTCCTGGAGCCCCGCATGGACAGCGCCTGCTGAAAGGCAGCCAGGTGTTTCACTTGCTGACAAGATGCAAATCCTCACTCTTACTGATGTTCACAGCCCAGTGCTGACCTGGGAGGAAATGGGGTAGGAATAGAAACGGCACCAGATCCAGATGCTCCCTGCTCCCTAGTACTACCACCTCCACCTCCACCCCATCCTTACACTGGAAACCCCGAAAGGGTGTGGATGTCCCCCTTCTCCAACTTCCCTTGGTTCACAAGCTCATTTCACCATTTGCATCTATTTAAAGATCTTGAGTTATAACATGTCACAAGGACACAAGTGGGTGATGCTGGAACAGGTGAGGACAATCATGGACAGCCTCATCCAACCAAGGATGAAGAGAACACAGTCACCAAGCCATGGAGAATGCAGGACCATGCAGCCGACGGGACAGGGTGCTGTGCTTGTGTGCAAAACAGGTGCAGTGTTTTAGGTGAAAGAAGGTGCTCATGAGCCAGGGTGGCAAGGTGCAGACAAGCCCACTCTGCAAACAGCAGAAGAGGGAATCCCCTAGGAGGAGTAGCCAGCCTGAAACACAAGCTCATGTGTGCGCAAAGGCAAAGATGAAGGCAGAGGGGCCCGAAGACCCTCAGGAGTGCAGGGTTTATCCAGGGCAGGGGACGTGGGGTTGCAGGCTGAGGGGAGTGAGAGTTCCTCAGGCTAGAATCAGAGACTGCCCCAGAAGGACAGCAGAGACCCGCCTTGGACTCTAAGTGCAGGAGGAGGGAAGGTCAGAGAGGTACGCCATTGGGAGGAGACCTAGGGTCAGGATCTGGCAGGCCATGGAGGCCAACCTTGGGTCCCAAGTTGCAAGAGGACCAGGGCAGGCCAGAGCAGGCCCACCAGCCACCTATATCCCCCAGCCCTGGGAGGGCAGCAGTAGGAGGGGCGTGGCCATGATGGCAAACCATTGAGAACTGGAATGTCTCCAGTGGACACTTGAACAACTTTCTATTGTTTCCCTTCCCATCTGGCTCTTCTTGTTGGCCTCCCTGTGATAAACGAGAACAGCTAAGGAGAGCTTAAGTGACCATTTCCGCATTAGGATCAAGCCCTTCATCCCAAGTTGCCGGGCAGGGCTGGCAGCTCAGTGGTTAAGGAGGTCACAGGGAATGAGCACCATCCCTAGGGAGCTGCAAGACCAGGTGTTAGCACCCTCAGAGGCTTCAGGGCCTCTGTCTCTTTCAGGTGAGTTTAACTTAAACCAAGCTTCCCTCTTCCCTCATTTGGAAAATTGGTAAACCTGAGCTGGACAGGCCACTAGGTGGGAGCCCTATAGCCCCCCAGTGCCAAGCGCTTCGAGCCTGTCATCCCTGGCATCTCCGTGGAGCACACCCTCTCCCCAGAGCAGAAGAAAGAGGACAGGGACTGAGGCAAGGGCCATAGGGACAGAGGAGCCAAGAAAAGAAAAAACAGCCCTTCCAGGAAAAGACGCAGGGTGTCCCTTCTGAAGTGTAGTCTTTATGGAGCAGGGAGCTCAGCATCCAGGTTGGGGCCCAGCCCCCACCTTGCTCCTCCTTCAACAGCTCATCCGAGGGGCTGGGCACGAAGTGGCAGGGGGCACTGCCTGGTGCCATCCTGATCTATGAGCCTGGCAAATTAGGAGATGATGGAGAGAAGTGAGGACATGCTGGCAGGTGATGCTGGCAGGTGAGGCTGTCCTCCTGGCCACTCAGTAGCTCCTCCCCAAGATGTCCTAGTGGTCACTTGGTGTGCACCAAGGTTTCTTGCCCACAATGCTGGTCCTCACCTAGGAGGAAACCTAGTCATCAGGCCCTGCTTGTGGGTGTGCCATGGGCTCCTTCCACCAGCCCAGGCCCTGCTGAGGCCTTCTGCAATATCTCAACAATCTTTGGGATAACCCTTGCTATGACCATTTATGCCCCTGGGGGGACCCAAGTCCTAAGGCGGCCTTCACTCAGTGGGCTCAACCAGCACCCTGAAGGTCATGTTCACATTGGGTACAGCCACAGCACACACTAGGTGCTCAGTAAACACATGGCTAAATGGTCAAGGAACCTGCCTTATGCTATGTGGTTCTTACAACAGCAGTGCTCTTTTTACCCTCCATTTACAAGTGAGAAAGCAGAGCACAGAGAGGTGAGCAACTCACCTGAGGTCACAGAGATGGTCAGCAAGGACACCGAGAATGGGCCTCGTGCATATGTGCCGATGACCCCAGCTGGATGAAGCGTACTGGCTTTGCTGCCAACTAGCCACAGGAGTCTCCCAAGTCTTTTTCAAGGCCTACGGGGCGATCTGCACAGGTAAGTCCAAAACAGAAATTTGGCACTTCTCCTGGGTCAGACAACTTCAGATCTCCCCTTCGGCCTTGCTGGAGCAGGTGACACTGAAGCCTGATTCTGAGATCTGTCTATGCCCTCCTGGTCTCTGCTCTATCAGGAAGGCATGAAGTGGCCAGGAGTGGGGGGACAGGAGTGGAGATATGCAGGGCCAGCACCAGCACTGACAGGTGGGCGATATGTAGTGACACTCGGCATCTCCTCCCGGTGCTGCCTTCATGCCCTCTCCTTGCAAGCAGTGTGGCTTTGTTTCCGTGACCTTCCATAGATAGGGAGGAGATGAGGTGGTAAAAGGAGATGCAGACGATTGTAATGTGGGAATTTCCAGAATGTATCCAGGTCTGGGACTTTAAGAAAAGGAATAGCACCCAAGGGCAGCCTTAATGAGGTGCTCTCAGCTGCGACCTGCTGAGATCTGTGAAGTCCTCAAGGTGCTGCTGGGGCAGAGTCTGGAAGGTGAGTGAGAGGCTATTGTTTTTTAGCACACGCTTGGAAACCCCAAACAATTAGGCTTTTAACCAGGGCTAGAATCCAGCTATGTGTGCTCCAGTGGCGCTGACTATAGAGTCGAGGGCATAGGTGGGGTCAAGAATAAGTAACAGACATTACAGGCACGGCAGAGGGTTAAGGACCCTGGTCTACCTCCTCCACTATTTGTATCCGTGAATGGGTGTTTAGGGAACAGAGAGACAGAGAGAGGGGACAGCAATATCCATTGTGTTCCGCAATGCTCCAGGCCCTCTTTTCACTGTCATTTAGTTCTCATTACAGTCTATAAAGCTGGCATTATCATCCTTTCCACACAGACAGGGTGCCTGCTCAGAGGGCCAAGGGGCCTGCTTACAATCACAGACATGGTGGAGCCAGCACTCCTCCTCGGTTCTGTCCCACCGCCACCACCCCTCCTCTCCCCAGTGCACATGCTGTGTCCTCTCAGGGCCAGCCTGCAGGCTGCTTTCCGAGAAGTCACCCCAACCTCGGGAGCATCAGCTGAAAAACTGCCCTGCTCTCAATGAGGGTCCTGCCTGCCACCTCTCACCTCTCACCCCTTTCAAACCTCCTCCACTTTTACTCACTTCAAAGAGACCTTCTCCAGGAGATCTTTGGGGAGTTCTCAGGAATGACCTGCCATTGTCACCTGAAAACATATCTCATCTCTTTGAAAGACAAAAAAGGCAGACAGATCTTTGATATGGTCTCATCTGGGGGGGCAGAAAAAGTGTGTGTGTTTGCATATCTCTGTGTGCACGTGCACATGCATGTTCATGTATGTGTTTTTGTGTGCGCATGTGAAAATGTGTGTACGTGGATGCAACTGCACTGGAGCACATGTGCATGTGTCTGTGTGTGTGCACGCACGTGCTGGAACAGGCAACTATGGGGAGGGTGGGCTGGTCTTTCCTTTGAGCCGAGGAAGGCTGGTACATTCCCATGCAGTGGTAGGAGCCTGGCCCTGGGAGTCAGGGCGCCTAGGTCTGGCCGTGCATCTGCTGTGGACCAACAGCCCATCTGAGGAAACAAAGGCTGGCCACTTGTCCTTGAGGATGTTCCTGTGCCCTGATTCTATTTAATCTGGCTAATGCGGGGAAGTATGGTACTTTCCATAGCATGGGATCAGGCTGGGGACAGGGTGAGGGTGACCTGTTGGCTTAATCTATCAATGAAGCTGGCTGAGAAGTGCAGAGCCCTACACCTGACCTGCGTGGGGCTCTTTCCCTGGCTTCCTCTGCTGGGCTGTCCTTGGGCACCGAGGCAGGAAGCAACTGCCCCGAGGCTTCCCTGAAGCATCCAGCGGGGGCTCAGGAGCAGTTCCTCACAATAGCTTTTCCGCAGGGATTTGAGAGAGAGCAAATGCCAGCCACCCCTTCCCCAAGCCTGTTCTCTCATTGTCCCTCTCTGCCAGTCAGAAGC